AAACTTATATTAAAGTTTTCTTCATTACCCATTTAAGCCGTCTCCAGCCATTATTAGTCTCAAAGTGGGTTCCTCGTCATCGAATACCTATATCTCAGTTTGCACATGTTTTCTACATGGACACTTTCTGTGTGTATCTTGCCCTCACTGGCCCTTCCACTTTGTCATTGTCAATGTGGAATTCTAGCTAAAGTGTGAGAGGAAGTATGTGCCCAAAGTTTACATTTTCCTATACCAAAAATGTATTTCCAATAATGATTTCCTCCTTTCACACTATCCTATCCTTCTTTCCCATGGAGCCAGTGTTTGGGTTTTGCTATTCTTGAAAAAGTGAATAAGAAGTAATAACAGGGAGTTTATATACAGATCTGGTATAGAGAGCACATTGACATAGGTGGAGAGAGTCATAAGATTAAAATTGCTAGGGGGAAATATAGTGGGGTATAAAGACTGGAGCAAGTAAGGTATAATCATACCAATGCTTAGATGGGCAGAGAAGAGAAACTTTTGTAGGAATAAAGCTAAAGTATGAGCAGAGGAAAGTATTATCGGAAATTCATTTTCAGTATAGGAAAATGTAAACATCCCTGCATATAATAAATGCAATATTCCACTGAGTAATGCCTTCCAGTGGATGACATGCTTTAACCCGATGACTACCGGTACTAACTTTCTTAGTAGGCAATGCAAGTGTGCATTTGTGAATTGAAAAAATGATAGAGAACTTATCTTTTAATGGACTTCTGATTTTATTTTTATAAATAGTAGCATAACATTAAATTATTTGTACAAAATTGTATTCTTTAATGAAGTTTAAAAAGAAATTTAATGAAAAAATTCCTAAAATGCATTTTAGACTGTAAATAAGTGCCCTCTAAGAAGAAATGTTTTTTCAAAAATTTGTTAAAGATATTTCCTTTCACTTCAGCACTGGCCCTGCCATCTATGATTGGTATCTAAACCTTTTTCTGGTCTGTTTTCTTTATAAAACTGCGTCTGGGCGTGTTAAACCTCAGTTGTAAAACTTTTAGCCAATCCTAGTCGAAAGTGTCAATTTCAGTACCAATTATTCCAATTGCTGTATCTCCCATTTAACAAATCATAGGATGATAAGGAAAGCACGTGATGAAACGTTGTTCTCTGGATTTTAGAATATGAATGTGGCTGTTGCTTATTATAGTAACTGCCATTTTATGTAGAGGTTGTATTTAGTACTGGCCAATAGGGCTTTTCTATAAGCGTTAGAAAAGTTGTTTCTGGAAAAAAACTACATGGGATGTACATGACTTTTATTATTTTTACATAGTAGCTTAAGTCATGCTGCATCGTATATTTATTTATATTAATCATTATATTGAAAAATTAACTCAAAATAGATATATTTTTTAGGAAAAAAGTTGATCCACAATTGTTAGGGTTAACAGCTATCGAGTGGCAAGTGCAAGGTCTTTACATGAAGTAGGCTTAGGACTTTGAACTGTAAGAGTTTGTGATTTTTTTATATACTTTGGTATTTAAATTCGCAGTTTTAAGTTCAATATATTTGTCCATAATACAAATATGGTTTAGTATTTATAAGGATAACTTTGTGTCATTTGTACGTACTAGTAGTACCACT